TCACGCTTCCATCCCGGCACGCGTCCCCTGGGAACAACCACTCGTGCCCCAGACTGCAGGGAGGTCACGTGGGGACCACGGGCTGGACACTCCGGTGGCTCCGCCCTGCGCACGCAGCACGTGCCTGAGGGAGGGAAGGCCGCCTCCTGCTGGCTGCCTCCCCCTGCCCCCGCCTCCCAGTCGCCCCAGCACCCCACGGGGAATCCCTTCCCACCCCATGTCACCAGGGCACAGTGACGCAGGACAGCACACGGAGCCGTGGCCGCCACGGGCTCACAGGCATGGCTCAGGAGGGGGACCCAGGAGCGGCCCCGCAACCAAGGCGGCAGGCCAGTCCTGCTCCATGGGCGCTGAGCCTGGGTGGTAGGTGGGATGCCCCGTCCGCCACCCTGACCACGAAGCTGCGGTGCGGGACGGGGTGGCGAGGAAGCTGGAGAGAGGAGGAGCATGGGAAACATCCAGGAAACTGGGGGACAAACACGACACCAGGCCAGGGCAGAGAACACCCCAGAAACAACCTCGCTCAGACCGCGAGGGCGCCGCACCCACACGGCCAGCGCAGGGTCACAGATGGGGCCCTGTGTCCATGGGGCTTAGAAAGCAGAGTCGTGGCCGCAGACGACCCCACGGGGTGGGGCCCAGGCCTAGGGCATCACCCATGGTGCCTGGCCGACACGCAGGGCACGGCTCACAGGAGGGACAGCGCCAGCAGCACTGCCCGCATCACGATGAGTGCGCAACACAGAAGGCACCTCCCATCCGCCCGGAGCTTCCACCATCTCCCACAGCTCGAGCACCGAGGGAAATGGGACCTGTGCTGGGAGCGCAGACGGCCCTGCGTGCTCGGCCCAGTTGCAGGAGAGACCACGGCTCAAACACAAGACGCCGCAGCAGGTCCGCGTAAAGCCAGTGACGGACGTGCACTAACCCATCAAGAAAGACCCAGAAACAAAGCTGCGTACGATAACAGAATAAGACAGAAAACGACCGTGGAACAATAAGATCAAAAGTAACCTAACAGCCGGGCCAGTGTGGCTCAGTGGTTGAGCATCAACCTATGAACCAGGAGGTCAGGGTTCGATTCCCGGTCAGGACACAGGCCCGGGTTGCAGGCTCCATCCCGGTGTGGAGCGCGCAGGAGGCACCTGACCAATGATTCTCTCTCATTGCTGATGTTTCCCTCTTCTTCTCCTTCTCTCTGAAACCAATAATTTTAAAGAATCAGTAAGAAAATATATGTTTTTTAAAGTCTCCTAAGAGCCCTGCCAGTGTGGCTCAGCAGTTAGAGCGTAGGTCTGCGCACCAAAGGGTTGGAGGTTCGATTCCCGGTCAAGGGCAGGCACCTGGGTTGTGGATTTCCTCCCGCCTACGGTGCCAAGAGGCAACCGATCGATGCGTCTCTCTCACATCGCTGTCTCTCTCCCCTCGGTTCTCTCTGAAAAAGCTATGGAGAAAATGCCCTCAGGTGAGAATTCACAGCCAACAACAGCCCGACCACTTGGTCCGTCCTGTGCAGAGGGAGCAGGCTGGAGCAGGACTCAGCCGCCCAGACGGAGTGTCAGGGCAGCATGCCACCGCCTGCTCCCGGGCCTGAGTCCGGCCACAGGGACCCGCCCAGAGCTGCCCAACCTGGACAGGGCCGAGCCCTGGGCAGGGAGGCGAGGGGGCGACCAGAGAAACATGAACCCACACGGGCACCACGGCTGTGCAGGACGCCACAGCAGCTGTGCAGGCACAAGGGGCATGAGGGTGCCGGGGGTGGGGCTGGACAGGACGGGCACTGAGGGCACCGTGGAAAGGGGCCAAGGGGCCTGCGGCTGCATAGCCAGGGCTGAGCTCTACCCACGGGCAGTGAGCAGGGCCGGCCGCGCCTGAGAACGAGAGCCCAAGGGGACGTCAGCCCAGGGCAGCTGGGCCAGCAGGCGAATGGACTGGCTGCTGGGAGCTGCTCAGCACAGGCCTGGGACCTGGGCCCGGGCAGGGGACACAGGCTGTGGTGACAAGGCGGAAGGGGGGGCAGGCGCACTCACCGTCTCTCGCCAGGCTGGCCAGCGCCCCCTTGGCCTTGGGCCGGCTGTTTTCGAGTTCAGTCTCGATTTCGTCCTGGTAGCTGGAGATTTCCCCTGAGGGACCAGTGAAGAGCAGGAAGTGAGCACAAACCCCTTTCCTGGACCAAGGTGTCTGCGGGCGGGACAGACCGAGGGGTGTGGGGGCAGGACGCTGCTCACCTTCCACTTCCTCCAGTTTTCTCGACAGGACTTGTTCCAGCTGAAAACCAAGAGGTGAGACCCTGAGCTGAGGGCCAGGAGTGACCAGGATGTCAGCTGGACGCGGCGCCTGCAGGCCGTTCCTGGCACAGGGCCCGACGCCCACCTTGCTGGGAACATGCTTCACGGGGCTGATCAAGGGCCAGGGCCGCAGAGTCAGGGGCCGGGGTCCCGACCAGGGGACGTGTGCACAGCTGTCTAGACAAACCTCCCAGGCCCGTGCCAGTCGCCCCGGGGGACGGCCTGGGAAGGGGATCCCTGTGCCCCTCCCCCCAGGACCACCATGTGCACCTCTCCCCACACACGGGCACGCATGCAGACCACCGTGTTGCCACACAGACGCGCAGCGTCAGGT